CGGAAATATGTGTTATAGGATCTAGATATAATGATGTTGCAAAGCAGAACCAAGTAACTTCTTCAAGATCTTCTATAACATAGGACCAGGTCATGAAAACGAAGTTTAATTAATCCTATACTGCCAAGGGGGCGTTACACACTCAAAAGTCCTCACGATTTTGCTGTCACATTTTGTATTTTTAATTAATTTCTTGATATATTCTGGGTCTTTTGTGTCGAAGTTTCGTATGAATAGCACTTAAGGTTGTCTAGCCCTATAGGCAAAACATTCAGTTTCTTAAGCTGAAAAATTGTTTTTAAAAAACTGATTTTTTTGGTAGGCGACTAGCAACACAGATTAGGTAAGTACGTGATGATCTTGGCCCACTTTAAGTAGCTCCTGTCATTGGAATTTCTGCATTTAGTTGTCTAATCTTTCATTATGAGATGTTTTCACTCCAATTCGTTCAAGGTGATGATAGATTGCTAGTTGAAGTTTCCCACAATCATATAAGTAGACTCTACCTATCCATTGAATTTCAGATGGCCACGACTCCCAAAAAGTATTCTAATCTCTCATGTCTCATCAACACCACATCAGCTGAGGAGACTAATGCTCGTTCGAAACTCTCGCCCCCCATGAATAAGAATACCTTTTGGAAAGTAGGGCTATGTGAAATTCATTGGAGGCCTAAGGCCTATTTATATGATTGCAGGAAAGTTAAACTACCAATCCTTCATCACCTTAAACGAAATAAGGTGAACACATATCATATTTCTTATTTGATGTTAGTCTCGAAATTCCACTTTTAAAAAATACATTACTGTTTTGCTCATGGTCACTCTTGCTTTGCGAACGCTGGGAGCCAATGTGTTATTTTTAAAAACTTGTGCTTATCATAGTCTTACGCTTCGAAGATATTTTTTCCTTCGTTGTTGATTTGGCATTGCCTGTAGCCATCAACTAAATCAAGGGATGGTGGATACACATCTGGAGAGAGCACATGACAATTTTTAAAGTGAAATAATAATTTTTATTTTTATTACCTTTAAAACATGTCTTTTAATACTGACGTTGAGATCATAATAGTGAGGTAGTTCGGTACAATAGAAATTACTTTTAATTTTTCTAGCTCTGCTGGGTGCTTTGGGCCAACTCTCGTCTCAAATGTCGCCCATCTTCACGTCGCGCGGCACCGGCAATGGCGGCACCATTTCCACTGCAACACGGTCGTCACTCCGTTGGCCGGGCCTGTACGCCATGCTCTTTCGTCTCCTCCTCATGTCCCTGTTCAAATCGCAACTCGGTCTAGGAATGAGGACGTTCGGTGGCCTCCAGCATCAGCTCTGCCTCCTACAGAAGCCTCTCCTGTTGCCTACGTTACTGACACCCGGTATGACCATGTCAACGTCCAGTCTGTTAGGCCTTCTGCTGACCGGACTTCGAACTGGAGAAGGTGTCTCGGACGAAGAATTGAGCGATTCCAGACTGGCACCACTCACGTCACCTCCGCAAGAGCCAAAAAGTGATCGGACACAGATTCGTAAACTCGATCACGATGACGGCACATCATGTAATACGCCCAGTGCTTCAAACTTGGACTCCCATGACAGGATACAAGAGCTCTGGGATGGACCTAAATCCACAAAATGTTCCGGGCAGGTGAACTCAAAAGGTCCGCCAAACGAGCAGATGCTCGCCTCGTCGAGTCCTGATCAGTTGGCCTTCGATCTACTTAGGATAGCTACTCAGAGTTCCCAGTCTTCGGCAGTTCTCGAAGAACGACAAGACACGCAACTGGAAGTAAAAGAGGAGGCATATAAAAAAGATATTGGCATGACTACTGAAGATGACGTGGCCACACTAACCAACTTCAATCGTTCAGAGTCGGTGGTTCGCATAAGGCGGATGGCAATAATACCACTTTGGGTCGGTACGTGCTAAAGTTGAGTCGAAATTGTATGTGGTTAGGAATTGAATTCCTACTTTAGAGGTTAAATACTTAAAGTTGGTGAAGGGGGGAAAAATTTTACATCTTTGGATATATAGAAGTGGGTTGACCTCGTTGTCAGGGAGACTAAGTAGAACGCACCGAGTCCG